TATCTGAGCTACAGTGATTGTATATGTTTTTCCTGGAACAGGTATTAGTCTCATCCATCGGTACACAAATTACTCAAGCGCATCTGGTGTGACGCACATCTATCGGGATGATATTTTCACTGTGTTGGGCTAATGTTAGGATTGCTGCTTGAATACTCAATCATGGGTAATGTTCTCTCAAGCTGTAGGTGGTTGCTTGCCGTAATTGAAAGCGTCTGCTGGTGAAGTGTTCTAGAAGGTCCAGTATATTACCATGCGCGGCATGGTCCCTCACTCGGTTTCATTTCCCACTGAAAGACAGCGATTAATCTGATTAGTGATCTATCAGGCAGCTGAAAGTTCTGCCTCCCGGCTCTAATGGTCAATGCCATGATCTGGTCTGAATTATTAACAGATCCATTCCTGGAGACCAGGGACAATTCATCACCAAACAGAGAGGCGAAATAAAAGCGAGAGATGGGGTGGGCTAAGTGAAGACTGAAAAAAAGATGTAAGTACACTCTTAAAAATAAAGGTGCTTCAAAAGGTTCTTCAAGCGATGCCATAGAAGAACCATTTTTGGGTCCACAAATAACCATTCAGTCAGAAATCTCTTTCTTACCTTTTTGTAATCTGAAGAACCTTCCTTCGCCACAAAGAACCTTTTGTGAAACAGAAAGGTTCTTCCGATGTTAAAGGTTCTTTATGGAACCATTTTGGGGAAGTCGTGGCCTAATGGTTAGAGCATCGGACTCATAACCCAAAGGCTGTGGGTTCGAGTCTCGTACCGGCAGGGATTGTAGGTGGGGGGAATGAATGTACAGCACTCTCTCCCACCTTCAATACCACAACTGAGGTGCCCTTGAGCAAGGCACCGAACCCCCAACTGCTCCCCGGGCTGCCCACTGCTCTGGGTGTGTGTTCACGGTTGTGTGTGTTCACTGCTGTGTGTGTGCACTTTGGATGGGTAAATGCAGAGCACTAATTCCGAGTATGGGTCACCATACTTGGCCACATGTCACTTCACTCACTCATTTAGACAAAAAGGTTCTTCTATGGCATCGTGAAGCACCTTTATTTTTAAGAGTGTAGGACACACACTCATAGAGTGGTAAAAATGTTTTTTGTGTATAGCAGTAAAGAGAAAGCAGGTACAGTAAGATATTTGTGCATGTGTGTTTTAGATTTTAAGGAATGGTTCATCCAAAGATGAAAATTCAGACATCATTTATTCACCCTCAAGATTTTCATTGAAAATCTTCCCTTCCTCTTTAAGTTTAAATTTGGAGTCAATGACATTTATGTTTGGTAACAAATTAAACACCATTTTTGTAGTCCATATGACTTTTGTAGTCCTTTTTTTTTTTTTTTTTTTTTTTTTTTTTTACTTTTGTAGAATTTGTGTAAACTGTTCCTTTACGATAAAGAAATTAATAAAGCATTTCTAAACGTCACACAAATTAGAGGTTATATAACCTTGGATCAGTCAGCTTTAAGATATTGAAATCCATGGCTTTTGACTCAAGTCTCAAATCTCAAATGTTCAGTACATTTTAAAACATAATCTGCATAGCCCTCTGAGTGATGATGGGGAGTTTATAGAGAAGACTCAGTGAGTGATTTTTTTTTATATCTCTGTGGGAATTGAGTAATGCCAGCAGATGACTCACTCCAAACAAAACCATAATCCTCAATGTCCTCAACCCTAAATCCAACCAATAATCATAAACCTATACAGATCTCTAGTATTAATCATAAACCTAATCTTAACCTAATGCTGTGCATCTAAATCTCATGATTCCTAAATGGAATATGATTACAAATCTACAGCTAATCTTGAACCTAAGCCTAATTCTGGTCAGCAGTGTCTCTAAGTGCATTTACAACAACAGCAGCTCTGTGTAGACCAACCCACTTTCAGGACACTAATCACATTGTAGAAGATAAACAGCTGACAATCAGCTGAGATTTATTTATTACAAACACGCAAACAAACAATTTAATGGGTTAGTATATATCTGAAGGTGATTTTAAAGGGACGATTTACTCCCCCAAAATAAAATCCCCTTATTATTTACTCACCCTCATCTTTTTAAAAACCAGTATGGACTGTTTTTATGATTTTATGTATGTGTGTGTTTCAGAGAAGATAAAAATCATACATGTTTGTAACGACACGAGGATGAGTATTTTTATTTCTGACTGTACTTTACCTTTAAGACCACTCTGTGTAAGATATAACAGGTGCAGCTATGTCACAATAAAGAGAGAGCACTTGAGAAATGCTTAATAGATTTTGGATGGTACTATTAAACCCCGTTCACACCAAGAACGATAACTATAAAGATAACAATATTAGCGTCCACACCAGCAAACGATATCGTCTGTTTATTCTAAGCGCACATGCGTCTGCCGCTTTAAATTCTCAAGTTCGTTACAGCAGGATGGATTCTGATTGGCTGTCAGTCTTTTATCGTTCATCAGCTGGAAAAAAATCGTTTTGAAAGTGATCACAACGATATCGTTTCTCTTTGTCTTTATCGTTATAGTTGTGGTGTGGACTCTGCTATTTTTTAATATTGAGAATGATTTAGAACTATATCTTTATCGTTATCTTTATAGATATCGTCCTTGGTGTGAACGGGCCTTTAGAATTCTTTCTAAAGGATTCTTTCAAGATGCAGTACAGCTCAGATACTGTCATGACCATTAGATCACTGACCCGAGTTAGTCAGTGAGAGGGAATGCTGGGACCTCAGTAAGACTGCCAGTAAATCACAGCGCACACACAAATACTGTGATTTAAATGTGTAATTTAGCCAAAAGGGGATGTACCGGCATCATAGAGTTTCTACATTGTTGTCTTTTTTATCCTCAAGTTCATATTTCCAAACAGAAACACACTCCAACCACGGTCCATATTGATTTTATTGCAGTGTAACTTCATGCTCGGATAGTTACATTAGCTTCATTTCAAATGAACTGTGTTTGATGGATTTGCTCATTCACAGAGCCAATGACATCCACCGGGCCAAACAAGAATGAACTACGGTTTCACCCTCCGCAGTGTGAGGCGTAAACACAGGATACACTGAGTGTGTGTGTGTGTATATATAAATCCAGTTCAGCTTTCACAGAAGCTGAAAAATATCAGCGTTGGGGAAGTTACAAGTCATTTATAATTTCTACAGGTAATTTACGTTACAAATTAGTCAATACATTATTCCAGCCATGCTAAAATATGCAATATTAGCTATGATGCAAAATGCCTGTTCATTTAGCTGCCATGTATGTCACTGCACTGCACCCATACACTCAAAAATATTGCTGTAGAACCTTTTTTCATTTAGAAATCATGATTACACTTTAGTATAGGGACCAGTCCTCACTATTAAGAAGTTATAGCATGCCTATTGTTAACATATTTATTAGTTTATTAGTGTTTGTAAAGCACATATTCTGCATGACCATATTCTACATCCCTAATCCTACCCAATCCTGACACAAATTTGCATTAGCATACCAGGTTATTTAAGTTCCTTTCATTTTTTAAATAAAAAAATAGCAATTACTGTGATTTAAAAGCCTGTTTTCCGTCTCAGACAAAAAAAAAGATAACGTATAATGACTATTTCAACTATATATATCGATTGCAAATTATTTATTGTAAAAAAAAAAACTTGCAATTTAATTTTTTTTTAATTTTATTGATTTTTATTTCGCATTATTGCGACTGTATTCACAATATGACCTTATTTCACATTACGTCTTTTTTTATCTGTCAGATTTTTTTTATCTTGCAATATTGGCTTTATTTATCCTAAAATATTACAGTGTCTTGTTCATTAGTGTGTCCGATAAATTAACTTCACAGCTAGCTACAGTATTTAATTACTAACTACCCTGAAGAGAGAAATATTAATTGCATATGATGAGAAAAATCGAGCTGTGTGCATGCTATGCTGTTGATGAAATCTACGCCACATTGTGTAATCCTGGCGTACATGTAAAAAACTGAAAGAATACTTCAGGATTTACTAGAAAAGTTAGCCACATAACTAATTCTAGTTGATTACTTGCCAGCAGTGCTAGACGGCTAGCCAGATGACAGCGATATTTTCTGGAAAAGCGATCTGTCGCTAGTGTCTTTCGCTATGGTTTGTTTTGTTTCTCCTGTCTTCTGTAGCGTAAAATAAATGGTTGAGTTCAGACACCAGATTCAGGCTTGTGAGCAATGACTGTTCCCCCCTCCCTCACCTATCAGCCCCCCGGCTGGGACGTGGGGGGTGTGAGTGATGGAAAGAGAAGGGTAAGAGGGCTAAATGCCTGAGCCACATGCGATAACTCACTAGCGGTTCACAGGGCTAACTGCGGTCAGAATGTGATAGCCTTGCACGAATGTGTTTTCCGGGAAATCCAACCAGTCGCCCCCCAACCTCACCAGGGGATTTAAAAGATGCAGGAGTATGGAATTCCACAGTCGGTTAATTGAATCCGTGATTCACAGTCCTTCCGAATTGTACTGTTTTCTGTTTTAGTGCTGCAAGACCCCTCTATTAAAGTTTAATGTTCCCCTATTGAAGGCACCGCATGAGGTTAATGGATGAATAGATAGATGCATAGAGTTGCAGTATGTCTTGTGTATTAAACACAAATTGCCGCCATGATTTTCCTGCCATTTTTTGACAGAAGCAGGTTAATAAATCGAAAGTTGCTGTTGCTTTGGTTTTTCCACTCACAGATGGGAGTTCAGCTCCCTTGCAGTAACATCTGGTCCTGTTTAGAGTTATGTCGTGTGTGTTTATGAGAGAGTGTTTTTAAAGCACGAGTGTTAGAGGGATTTTTTTTCCTGAGCGGTGGTGAGTTCTGAATCTTCCTCTGTCACGGGTCACCGGCCGGTTCACATTTCCTGCCAACATGAGTCACCTACAAACCAGCGGTTATTAGTCTACAAATCTCCAACACAGCCAGATCCAAATATATTTATGTCCCCCTTTTGTCGGTTTCTTTTTACCTCACAGGATCTCGAGTGAAAATCTCCAACTAAGCTTGTGAACACCAGTGAGAGCCGAAGCGTTTCCTCCACTGCTCATCTCCTGAAAGGACAACAGTGAGTTTTGAATTAGTCTTTCTCTATTTACAGTGATTCAGGTTTCCTGCCTATCATCATGGACACGCCAGTTCGTGTTTCCTCTCTTCGTCATGGCAGACAAAATCAATTGTAGACGCAGCAGTTTACAGAGACACAGCATCAGTTCGAGATCAGCAGAACTAACAGACGCGGATCGACCTGTCAGATCTGATGCAACCCACTATAGTTGGATTGCGTTCATGGATTGCATCGTTAAGGAAACGTGACTGACGGGCACTTGAAATACAGATATGTGCTCATCCAATTTATTACATTAGCCCATTGTTTAGAGGAGCTAAGGTTACTGCTATACTGCTATGCCATTTACACCACAGTATAAATGGGAACATTTTATGCTATTAAAAACGTGAGGTTTGAAAAATTAGCAAATTAAGTCCCTTTAAAGGAAAAGGGATTTAACCCTTTAGTTAAATCATCAAATAGACATTACTGCATGATGTGGAAGCCTGTTTCCACCTCAGAGTAAAAAACACACACACAAATAAATAAATAAAAGGCCTTACAAGGACTTTTTTCCTCATAATTGTGAATTTATCTCATAATTGCAACTTTATATCTAAAAGTAGCAAAATATTTCTGGTGATTATCAATATGACAATCGCAAAATTTGACTTTTTTATTTTTCATAATTTTAACTTTATTTCTCAGATTTTTGACTGTATATCTCCCAATATAACTTTTTCACAATTCTGACTTTATATCCCATTATCTATTTTTGACTACTTTTCAACTCTCTCAAATTTTTGAGAGATTTTTGACTATTTTTCAACTTTTCAAATCTCATCATTGTGAGTTTATATCTCACAGCTTGACTTAATTTTTTTATCAATTTACTTCATCTTTATCTTAAAATTTGACTTTATATCGGTTTCTATTTATTATCTATTTATTGCCTTGTTTATCACAATAAGCTCACTTGCTAATTATTTCTTGTAATTGTAACTTTTTTCTCACAATATGTATCTCACTTTACTTTTCATAACTGCGACTATGTAGTTCAGTATGTCTCTGTCATGCAATATTGTCTTTACCTCCCATAATTTGTGATAGTGTCTATCTCACTATAAAATAGCTATGATTTTATTTCTCATAATTTTGAATTTATATTTTATAGTTTGAATTTTTTGTAGAATTAAAATTTTATCTCAAAATTATTATTTTTATTTTATTTTTTTACTTTGAAACGATATGATTAAGATAAGATTTTGGTTATACCATCCACCCCTCAAAGAAACGTATAATAGGTTTTTGGCATGCAATGAAATGACCTTTGTTTTTTTGGTCAAACCCTTGGCTCTGACTAAAACTGACATGCCCTCACATCATTTGAGCCGCACCATTGTTCATTCACTCTTTCTCTCTTTCATTTCCCTGCTGCTGACCTCTGAGCAGAAACAACAGTGTAAGCACTTTCATTCTAGATTTCTCTCTATCCTTCCCTTTTGTTCTGGAATACACATTTTCATCCAAAGGTCATTGATGGCCACAGAGAATCACTCGGAGCGGTATTCAGTCAAATTGCATTACACTGTTTATCCCGAAGGTTCTAAGTGTGTTGTGGATGATCTGGTATAGAGCTGAGCCCTGCAGGTCTGGAAATGTGCCAGTGGAAAGGCCCGTACCAACTTTGTGAAAGGTCAGGTGCGAAAGCTTACAAATGTAGATGTTTTTTTGTGTGTGTATGTGTGTGTGTGTGTGTGTGTGTGTTCTGATGTGAATCCCAATGGTGAAATGAGAAAGAAACAGGTTTTATGTAATTTAGTTTGTAAACATTTCCCAGTGGAAAGGCCCGTACCAACTTTGTGAAAGGTCAGGTGCGAAAGCTTACAAATGTAGATGTTTTTTTGTGTGTGTATGTGTGTGTGTGTGTGTGTGTGTTCTGATGTGAATCCCAATGGTGAAATGAGAAAGAAACAGGTTTTATGTAATTTAGTTTGTAAACATTTAGCTTTTTTAAAGCATGTGCAAAATGATAGTTCATATTACTTTGAAGTCAACATGAAATCAAATCCCTCTTTCCTTTAAATTCCTGGGCATTTTGTATATAATTCATTGGGCGTGTTATTCAAAGGCAAAATGTTTGTTTTTATAGCCCTTAATCAAAATATAACTTTCTCTACCACTTTTAATAACTTTGCTTTTCTGCTGACATCATCAAGTAGCCACTAACATTTCAACCAATGAGTACCTAAAGTGTTTTAGAAGGAAAGTGGTCATCCACAATTGCTTTCTGGCTCCATTCCAGTATGGAAAACTCCTTTTCATGATCCAATCAATTACAGATAGGTAAAAATCAGATCCTACCTGATGTTTCTGATTGAATATCTCATAAATACATCATATTACAGAAGTCAAATGGATTTGTGAATTTTCTGACTTTGTTTAATTTTGGCTTTAAAGCTATAACTTGTTGGCAGAGACTGTAAAAGCCTCCAACAAGTCTTGTAGTGATTACATGTTACATGAGTAGGCGGTCTTTCGCTGACACTATATAAACATGACCACGTGTGTCGGCAACCTCCTCCAAATATGCTCAGTGAACCGATTGCGCAAGATGCGATGGCCCCCTGTATTTAGAGCTGCACACTAGAGATTGATGTTAAAATCAGGTGTGAACAGGGTCGAAGAGATGAATGAATCTCTTTCTTTCACTCCTCTTCATATCTGGCACCACGCATTCAAACATACAGCAAGTGTGATTTTCTGCAATGTGAGAAGTGTGCTTTTTTTTTTTGCTGTGAGGAGACGAGAGCCGATTCTCTGACTCGTTGGCCTTCTGACTTCATGATTCTGTGGCTGTCTAATACTCTCATTCATTCTGCTTCATTGTTGCCCACCACAGCAAGCCTACAATGAATAGCAAAATCTCACCCAGCGAATAGGAAATTTCAGAGCAGTCATCTGGAACGGCACTTTAGGCTTGAATACAATGATTGGACTGTCTGTACGTTTACAATAGCATATTCCACATATTCTTTCTTGTTTTCTATGACTGAAAAACCCTGTTATAATGATTTGACTTGGGGCGATAATGCATAACTGGAATAATTTGAGATTTAACATTTACTTATATGGATAGTTCACCCAAAAATGAATATTCTGTGAACCATCCTTGCATGCTATGCCCTACATACAGTAGGATTCAAGCAAACTCAATGTTGGCTACACAAACCTAATCATCTGATTGGTTCCTCTACGCTCCGGCAGGGAAGCACTAGGCTGCGCATGAAAAGCTTGGGGTTAAATTCCCATTTTCACCAGCAGATTGGCTCTCAGGAATCACTTCCTGGTTCCTAACCACCAGTGTCTAGTTATTTTCGGTGTATTTATGTGTGTGCGTTCGTCCCCCGGGGCCTGTTTGAGTTCTGAGCTTCAGTGCCCTGAGACTAACAGGCAGGAGGAAGCAGATGGCTCCAAGGAGGGGTGACCCCATAGCAGAACTCTGACTCTGACAGAATTATATTCTCCAGAGTCACACACGTCTTGCTTCTGTAATCCTAATAGATACCCGAACGACTCACACACACACACACACACACATGCTCACACTCATATTTGCCGTGCTTTTGTAATCCACATTGCTGCTCCTCCTCCTCTCTTGTCACAACAACTAGTGATGGGCAACCGCTGGATTATACTCAGTCACAGTGCACACACGTCTTGCTTCTGTAATCCTAATAGATACCCGAACGACTCACACACACACATGCTCACACTCATATTTGCCGTGCTTTTGTAATCCACATTGCTGCTCCTCCTCCTCTCTTGTCACAACAACTAGTGATGGGCAACCGCTGGATTATACTCAGTCACAGTGTATTTTATAATATAGACTTAAAATATAATAATATGAACTGTATTGTGCAAATCCACAATGACTGAGAGTGAAGTTAGTAACTGAGCTTATAAAAGATTTCAAGAGGTGTTGGATTTGATCCAGCTATAGACTTTAGTCAATGTAAATGCCATATTCAATTTGATGCCAGTAAAACAGAGACTGCTACAGTATGTTCAATTATGCTGTATTGTTGATCGTTCGGCTGAATGAACAAGAAGTCTTTTCAATGTCTTATTGGACGAGCGATCAACATCCATTAAACATGACAACAGTGGTATTGAACGTGGTGTACTGTACTTGCATCCCAAACACAGCCTGATTTTCATTCATCAAATGAAATTTGGTGTCTGTTCTGCAGTGTATATCTGGGGTTAACAAATTTGTTAATTTTAGATAAATCACGAATTAATATTTAATTATCTTCCCCATTTTCGCATTGGTGGATTAATGTGAGGAATAATCTACATATGTGTTGCCATATGGAGTTCTAGTAAAAGCATATACAGCAGAAGCATATGATAAACTGTATTTCCTGGTAAAAGCTGTTAGATGTATCGTGAGACGTGAAATGTTTTCTTTAGTAGATGCTAGTCTTTAGAATTATAATTGTGCATGTAACTGAGTGTGAAACTATCATTTTAAAATTCATGTTTCCCAAAGTCATGGAAAACTTATGTAATAACTATAACTATAATAAATATATTTTAAAATGCTTTGCCATATAATTTCTAATTTTATTCTCATGATGGCAAAGCTGAATTTTCTACAGCCATTAATCCTAATCACATGATCCTTCAGAAATTATTATTGATTTGGTGCTCGAGAAACACAATTTACTATTATCTAGGTTATATGCGTTTGTGCTGCTTTATGTTTTTGGGGAACTGTGATACGTTTTTTCAGGATTCTTTGATGAACAGAACAATTTATTTGAAAGAAAGTGTAAAAGTCTTTTTAGTCTGTTGCTTTGGATGAATTAAATGCCTCTAGACTAGAGCAACCATCTAACTCACCTGAAGCGTGTTGATGAATGTAGACGTTCCTGTGAGAAGCTTGGTAGTTCTCCAGCTAAATAATATTGAGCGTGTTTAGCAGCTTGCTTGCAAAAACCTTTCTAAGA